CTGTTTTCATTGACATAAATATTAATTTAACAATTATAAATAATTATTTAAAATTTAACAAATATTACATATAACGTAGAATACAATTTAAGAATTAGTCATCGGATTTATGTTCATAATAATAATTTTCTCTAATACTAAATTATACTCGCATCCACATTTTTCAGCTGTGAACGGATATTTCTAATGCTAATTTTATTTAAAATCCCAAATTTTCAATTAAAATTATTTTTAAATCTATGTATTTATTGTAAATTATACCAAACAAGGTACATATTATGTGATTTCAAGATAATTGTATACATAATATGTAGGTAATAAGCAATAATAATATACAATAATATAATATATTTGTATTTATTTTTTATATCATTTAAAGCAAAGAATTAAAATATAATAAATATACTACATATTTTAAAATATCCTTTTTTTATTTTACTTAATTATGATCTGTTATAATTTATAAACTTATATTATTATTCGTAGCTTTACACATACTCTTAAAATGTTCGTTGATTCCTCGTTTTTTTCTTTTATTTATATATTATAGTTAACACCTTAACTAATTCGAAAATAATAGCTTATTAATTTTATAATTGCATTTTAACTTTAAAATTATCTATGTACATTGCACATACTAACATGAACAATTCATAGTAATTCTAATCTAAACAGTTTAAATTATTATACTATGTAATAAATTCACATTACTTATATTTGTAAAATAACAATACTTAAGTTTCTAAGTTTTAAACACTATACTTTACAATTATTATAACTACACCTTACTCATAATATAATGTACTATAATGAGTAAATAATGCCTTATCTTACAAAAAAAAAACTATTTTAGTAAGTTATAATTTATATGTGTTATTCTAGAAGTTATTAATACTTATGATTTAATTTGTGAAAATAGTTGATTACAATACCTTATTTATTCAATTTAAATTTGTTTATGTAACCGATTATTTTAAAATTAAAACTCTGGATTAATTTGAGAAAACGTGGATTTTTTTTGAGTATAAATTTAATGTCAAACTAATCCGTTATTGACTGAAATAGACAAAAAAATCAGTTTGACAAGCTATAATTTGTTTTATAATTAGTTTAATAACTTTTTTAAATAATATTTTTATATGGATAAAATTCATAAAAAAATTATATATATTCATATTATTATAATAATTAAATACTATAGTAATATAATAAATGCAATATTTCCGGAAAAATTTTATCAACCTACTATAAAACTTAAAGTAAAATAAATGGCTTTAAGGATATGTCAAAAAAACATATCCCTTGGTGATAGAGGCTGATAGGCCGTTTCCGCTTAGAATCGTTTTTCGTATATAGTGCTATATCATTAAATTAAAATTTAACAGACGTCTATAATACAGTCACTAACTTGATAAAGCAGAGCGGTATCCACTTACTTACCTTTTTTTTATTATTAATTTTCTTATTGAAAAAAACATAATATTATTTTGGGTTTCATAAAAATCAATGTGTACTTCTTATAGACAATTTAATTCCAAAACAAAACAGAAATAAGCAATGTTTAAATTCTGAAACATAAATAATATTTTCGTAACTAATTTTCTATAATATTTTTTTACATTTTATTTTATGAATTTAAAAAAATCTCGGTAGGTAGGTACGTGAAAAAAATATTTTATTTGTTTCGTTAAACATTAACGAAACATTAATTTAATTTAACATTAAATTAATCGATGAGTTAACAAAAATTGATTAGTTTACACAAATATTTAAAAAAAGAATGCATGAAGAAATTCCATTTTAAGTGTTTTAATCTGTAAAGCCTTTAAAGTACTTCCATTTTATACAACACTCAGTTAAAAATGTAGAGCAAAAAGAAGATTGCAATAAGTAATAACACAAGTAATGTTACTTACATAAATTAATTTTGTTTAATCTTTGACTTATAAAGTCAATAAGTTAAAACTCGTGTATTTATTTGATGCATTGAGGGCGATTATTATTAGTCAACAGCTGTGAAGCTAACTTAGGACGTAAAATGCTGATAAATTTGATTATTAAAAAAATGACGAGTCTTTCTAGTCGTATACAGTTACCCAAACCAGCGTGATGAAATGGGAAAACCTATTAGGGTAACAATTTTTTTGTTATTTATTTATTAAAATGAATTTGTATGTATCGGGAATACAGATTCAGAAAAATCAACTACGATTTTCAGTTGTCTACTTTTTACTTAAAATATGAATAAATAAGTCATTATAAATGCATGATACTCGTATTAGAATTCCTTATGTTTTGTTTTCGTTAAATACATCTCACGATTAATGAATAATCTAATTTGATTAATTATATTTAAATTTATTTGGAATTAGTTATTATAAAAATTTGATATTTGTAGGTATCGGTATGTCTTATTCATAAAATTTTACGCTTTTCATAGGATCTCAAATTTTTATTTTCTCCATGTATTCCTCACTGATTTATAGTATCATAGTTGTATTATTATTATCGTAATAACGTTCAAATGATTATTAAATGAATTAACATTTTTAAATAATGAATATACTAGTATTCCAATATTATGTGATCTTAAAAATAAAAATATACAGCAATATAATATATTATATCTTATTTATCGGTGATACAATATATCATATGCTTATGATCTATTGTATAAAACAAACGAGCAATATTATTTTTTTGTGTTTTACTCAAACTTTTATAAAATAATTTAATATCATGCATTAGGAAAAAACTAAAATAAAATAAAAATTTAGTAGTTACACAAAAACTAATTAAGAATATTGTTTTTAGTCTTTTAAATTCAAGTAAGTATCTATTATATTTTTTTTATCTGAATTATATTTATTTGTTATTGAAAAAGATAATGACCATTGAATAGATAATTTTTAATATTGTTTTATAAAAGGGTTTTATAGCAATCATTACGACTTTTAGGCACATATTATTTAATATAAGATGAATAGATTATCATTCTATATTTTTTAGATTGCATACCGATTCGGTAATCCTAATTTTCTATAATAACAAATGAGTTCAATGTATGTTTAGATGTATTAACTATATGTTATTATATATCAGTGTATTGTGTGCTGGTAAATGTATTATTATAATAATCTTAAACGATTTTAAACATGTATTAAACTGCGATTTTATATGGAACAATTTATTTGTCCTACGACGCTGTCATGTCGTAAAATACATTATGGTGTTGGATAAATCGAAATTAATACGTTCTTAATGCGTAAATACGTCTCTGTACGCATTAGGTAAACCACTGATGTGTAATGTGATATATACACCTATACACCTTAGACGAAATTGGTAAATCGATATTAAAATATATAATATATAATAATATAATATCGCTTTATAATTTGCGATAGATGTTTATACTGATAATTGATACTAACATATTATGCAAACATTTAGTTAAATTTTGACTTTCCGTAGGTCTGAACAGAAATAAAATCTGGTAAGTATTGGATAGTGGCAATGATAATAGCCTAAAATAATGTTTTGGATAAAGTTAAAAAACCCCTTGTATAAGCTTTACAAAATTTGGTGTTCGAACTCAAGACTCGAATAATATTATGAGGTAGTGCATATCAATCACTTCTTTAACTAGAAAAAAAACATGAAAGTATAATTTTAGTCTTTAAGATAATACTTCAGAAAATGCGTTTTCTCACTTCAGAAATACAATATAATATCTCGCCTTGACTGCTATTTATGAATTATTTAATTTTTTTCTTCAATTGTGTAATAAGACTAATCTATATTGTGATATGTAATAACATTATTTAATATGACTACATAATATTATTTTGGTATTATACTTATTATATTTATAACGTATCGTACATTTAGTAAACATGAATAAATATGCAAAATAATAAAATAATCATTGAGAGTTTAAATGTATTTATGACAGTCCATATATTAAAAATCATTTCCTTACTAAATTATCAATGATATTTGTAAAAGAAATGTAAAATAGGAAATCTGAAAGAAGTCGAATAATCATTAATATTATATTAATCAAGAGGTTTTATGCGGCGATTGGTATTAGTTACTTATAGTTTATTATAAACATGGTTTGATGATACATATCAGTGTAATCAATGATAAATGTAATGTTAAAAATATCTAGAATAATAACTTACTGGTTGATAAAGTTATTGTTATTCTTAGTTACTTTACGTTGCATTCAATAGCTATTCATATAAATAATAGATGTGAATATATTAACGCATTAATGATAATGCACCTACATTGTCTATCCACAACGCCGTGTGACAAGATTTCTCGTAAAAAAACGATAGTCTAGTGCAATTTTTAAATTTTTAGAATATTGTATCGACGACGACAACTAATGAAAAGCAGTGCGATTCCGATAATCGGTCATTAAGGTGAACGCTCTGCTATAATTTATAATCATAACACGAGAAAAGAGGTCGTTTACGTATTGTGTCGTGCAGTGGATTCCGATAAGGTCTTAAGCATTATGGAATGCGGAAAAGAAAAAAAAAAACTAATAACCGCCGTGGTGCAGCAGGTTGTGAAAAAGACCCATTCTTTTTTTCCTTTTTCCTTTTTTATTTTTTTCGGAAAAGTCACGTGTAACACCACATCCAGGTGTGCAGGACCCTCTATCACGTCGCTCCTCGCTAAACATTACGCTCCACAACCGAGCCGGAGTCGGCGGGCGTCTGTCGTAGACGTAATCGCGGTCGTTGAGTATTAGTGGTGGCAGCGGTTCGAAAGAAAAAGTAAAACCGTTCACCGCCACCGCTCCCAGCCGGGTGTGATTCGTTTCGGTGCGGTGGACTCGCGCGACAGGGCGCCCCTTGTGTTTTCTCTCGCTGGTCAGCCAGCGTTGCCTGGGGGAACTGCCGCCAGCACGGCGACGCGGAAAAGCCGGGAAACGCGACGCGCACACGGGGAAAAACCCGCGCGTCATCAAGTGTTGCACCTCTTTAACGTTTGCACGCCACGGCCGTACGCACGGCGAAGCTCTCAGTCGCGCGTTGTTCGCCCGTGCCCGTCGCTGTCGTCGTTGCCGTTGCGCCAGCGATCTCGTTTTCGATATACACTTTCCACGCGAGTACAGAGAATTTTCATTTGGTTCGCGGTTATCTGGTTCTCTCTCTCTCTCTCTGTCTGTCTCCCCGACTTCCCTGCCCAGATCTCTCGTTCGCTCGCATTTAATCACCGTTTGGCGGTTTTTTTTTTTCATCGACTTACTGGACATCAATGTAAGTATATATATATACATACATACATATATATATATATATATATATATATATGTTTCACATACGACCGTATTATTTTGATATCTCAGCGCTCACTAATTGAGCTTTGGATTCGAATTCCATACTTATTGTCGTTAAGTCCTTTGGTAAAAAGTATTTACCACCATAATGTATTGAATAACTTATAGTCTGTAATATATTAACTAGTTACAGGTATGGTTAAAAGTTTTATTTTTTTTTTATCATAAAATATGATAAAAAAATAAGAAAAAAATGTATTATATTTACGCTGTCAGTAATTATTAATAAAATTTCTTCTTTACAATATATTTTAAAATTCAGGTTTATTATCATCAGTGTTTTTTTTTTGATGATTATTTTATTTTATTTTTTACAAAAACATTTACGATATGTTATTTTCTAGCATTGCTATTAGTCTATATCAATGAGAACATAGTTCTTCAACAGCATAACACTCGTATTTTTCACCAAACACATTTTTAGGTTTGTCCCTTCATTAATAAAATATGAATAAATAGTTTCTGAAATTTTAATAAAACTACCTAGTAAATAATATCATTGTATATTAAAAAAAAAAAAAAAAAAAAAGTAATATTATTCAATAGTTGGGATAATCAAGAGAAAGTCGAAGGTCGAAATACTTATCACTACCAAAACTAATATTCGTGTATAATATTAAGACAAATACTCATAAGCATTCGTAAATATTTGGCTAAAATATTTTGTACGGTTAAAACTAACTTATACATAATTTTGAACAGTAATTATTTTTCATATCAACTTGAATACAGTTGTAGAAGATTTAATTTTTAAACAAAGCGACAATAATACACCTTCTATTAGAACATTAAATTTTGAGCACTTCTGATATTACACGGTCATTTATATTTATAAATTTGCGATCAAATATTTAAGATAACTGATAAAAATATTGCCCTATTGCTTCTATATAAATCTGGCAAAGATTTTTATTGGTTAGATACGATAAACATACTCTTTCATAAGATTAATATTTATTCCATAAGAATCTAACAAATAATTAATATAATAATATTATTGAGCACAGAAATTTAAAATAACTAACAAATATTATCATTTACGTGAATACTGTTAATATAAAAAATTGTTTACTTATTTATATATATATTTACAAATGTTAAATGAAAAACTAATTAATTTAATATCTGTTTTATAAGTAAAGGAAACCAGAATACTTTGATATTTTTAATTTTTTCTCTGTAGCCTGCGACGTCCCATTAAAACTAAAAATAAGAACGCTAATTAAAAAGTTATAATATTATTTATGTGGCAAGCATAAATCTATACCATTTATATATTACTTTGCGTTCGTTTTAAATAGCTATTAAATTCAATCAACGCTACAATATGTTAATTATATCGTTCGTCTTTCCTTGTTTTATTGATATTAATGTGTGATTGTATCTATTTTTTAGAACAATACATTTATTTGATTTAAATAATTTTTTTTGTATTTTGAAAAATAATTTGTAATTACTATAAAAAGAAACAATACTATAATATTTACTTTCATTTTTTTATCATATTTTTAACTCTCACATTCAAATATCAAAATAATATGGTTTAAGATTCCAATTTATAACACCAAATGATATTTAACATATTTTACGATTAGTATTTGCTTTACAGATATGCTATTATATAAATAATATGCTATATACTATTCACACTATTTAGTGTACAAAAATATCGTATCAATGAACAAATTAAACATATTATACAAGTAGTACGAATCACTTAAGGTCAATTAAAGCCACGTTCAATTCTAAAACGAGGTTAAAAACTTCTATATTATACACAATATAATATACAGAGGTTAAGTATATCTACATAAGCATTTATTGTTTTCCGAAATTCCCCTAACCTAACGCGATAACAATCCAAAAATAAACCGTTTTCGTTTATGATTTTTAGTTTATTTTCAATCAATGTCCATTGAACAACAATAACGAGTTAGAATTTTATGAAAAAAAATACAATGCATTTACTAATGAATATCATGCACCTATTTTCATAACAATATAATATTATTAATTTAATATTTTTCATTAGAGATATTTAGTCTTTTATTTTTATTTTATGATCGTTAACATCTTAGCTCTTTTATGTATTATTTATCGTTATTTTAGACAAATAGAAATAGTGAATAATTATTAACATTAAACGTATTTCAGTTTTATGTTATTCAACACCTTTAAAGGACATTGTTTTATCGATTTTACTTTTTGTGCTAGTAAATATACGTAAATATAGTTTCAAAGCCACAACAAATTCCTTAGATTCATTACACAGATTAATACTTCAAGCTTGGCTTCTTTCTATTTTGTTGTCCACTAAAAGTTGTGCACGTTCGATGATCTAAAGTTATTTGCGTCCTTAACTTATCCTATCCAGCTATAGTCAAACATTTTGAAATTATTACTAATGGTTTTGTAACTAGATATGATGAAATATGACGTTACATTGTATCGGAGAAGAACAAACTAGAGAAAATATAGGTAGACGTTGTTTAGAGAGGGTGAGCATTATCGAAATTCAGACTAAAAGTTTGAAAGAGAATAGGATGCTGTATACCAGAGTTTAGTAATGCTTTCAGAGTTATACGAACAATAGGATATTGTAAGGGTAAACAAAAATCGTTTAGTAATTTAATGCCAAGTAGTGTTTCATATCAAAGTACTTATACTTGATATCGAGTATAATACGAGGTAATGATTTATCTTTAATCGCTCTAGAAATAAATTATAGATAGGTAACTAGACCTACTGATAAATTAATGACAGTTCGCTTAATTCGTGTTTAAAAAATTATTTTTTGATTGATATAGAAAAAGAATATAGTGATAAAAATATATTTTTAACATTTTGGTAAACACCGACTGAGTTATGGTGTTTTGTATTATGAATGAATAGTATGTTTATTTTGAACAATTATCTATACAATATACTGCAATTTGTGGTTATTGTGCTTTATTTATGGGTGCTTATAATAATGAAATTACTAATGAATCCGATAAGAAAAGCCTACTATACGATCAAGAATTCTGGTAATTTTTTTTTATTAGCTATGAATTTTGAGTTTAAAACTAAAGACTAACTAATAATAATTAATATTATATTGTAATAATGGTTCTGGGTCAATTGATTGATAACTGTTTGACCCAAAATACAATCAACAATAGAGATAATTGACCGACAAATATATATATATATATATGAAATAGTCAATTAATTTCACTTGTTTATATTTTTGTCTTAAAAATATATGTTAACTATTTTAATGATATTTATAATTTTTTTTTTTTTTAATATTACATTATCATACTAATAAAATTATTTTATAATAAATAATAATAATATATTAAAACAATTGAACATATTGAAAAAACTAAAAATAATATTTACATTAACACGATTGTATAGTATAGAATCTATACTATAGATTATACGGTTATATTGTGAACAATACTTTGACGTGTTTTATTCTAAATAATATTAAAAGTCATCTTCATGTACTGTTCACGTTTATGCTGAACATTTGTTGGACGTGGCTTTAGAGCTCTTTGATGAATTGCTTGGATATCTACATCAACCTTAAATTGCTTCTCTGAAGTGAACAGGCCAATCATTTTTAAATCCATAATAGACTTTAAGTACACGTGTAGACTGTAGAATAAACTCTAGTAAATAAATGTAGCCGATCTTTATAGTATTTTAGCGTTGCCATATTATTTGTTTAATGTTTATATATATATATTGGATAATGATGTATACTAAGCATTAATAATTCAAAAAATAATCTTTGTATCTATATTTTTCTTTAATATTCTCGTTTTGAAAAAAAAATGAAACTATTTAAATCATAAAACAATATTTTAAAGTGTCATTTTTATTTTCATTCAATAATAACTACTATTTTATATTAAATTCATTTTTGATAGATAGTATTATATTATTTCTTTTATCGGATAGAATATTAAAGCAAAAAAAATAATTTTAAATTCAACTCATCTAAAATTAAAAATTTATTTTGGGTTTCTCTAATAATTAATAGTATTAACCAAAGGGAGATGAATACTTATGTTCACGTTTTTGCTTGACGCTAACAAATGATTATCAATAAGTGAAATAATTACACGGAGCACTAATGAACTTGTTTTCGAATATAACGTTATGCAAAGTGTTAGTGGATGATTGTAATGGTTTTAGGTAGAAGTATCGTCAGCACTTTTAAAGTTCAGTCGAATGTGCTTCATTAAATTGTATAATAAGTACGAGGCGAATATCGGTGATGTATTATTAACGATACTCAGCCACGTAGTAAGGCAAAATCTTCAATTTTGCGTTGACATTAAAATTATATTTCAATATGTTAAAAATTATAAAGACCTTATTTATAGTTATATTAAAATACTCTAAAAGTTTTCTATAAATAGACATAGTGCTAAGATAATGGAATACAATATAAAATTCATTAAACAATATGGTTTTTTAAATGTGTATTGTATAATATTATTTATTGCTTTATATTTAAAACATATTGAAATATAAAATCTGATAACTAGTTAGAAGTATATTTACAGAATGTTTAATTTTGAAGGGCAGGCTGTATATTTAATATGATTAAAATGACAATTATTATTATGATCGATTTAAGTAAACCAAGTAGGTACAAAATAAATGAAAATATTCTAAATAATATATATATTATATATTAATACCTATATTACAACGGAAATGAATAATTTAGAATAAAATGTAATCTATTAATATATTTTGATCATTATTATTATTATCATTATATATATATATAATATATGTATACAAAATTCCCGGTTTAATTCGTGTGGTTAATGCAATTATGACAATTGAATAAACGTAAACTGTTTAATATTGAGATATGATTACTGTATTGTGTTTATTTTTTTTTGACGAATGACA